AATTGTTGGTGAATATTTTTGTCATTTTTGGTAAAAAGTGATATTTTTGACTTCTTGTTCAAAACCGCAAGTCCAATTGCTTTGATATTGCATATATAGGTACTACATGTTGACCTCTCTCAGATTTGTTCATTTTGTGATGATATCTTCAATTCTCTAATTTTGGTGAATGTTTTTGTCATTTTTGGTAAAAAGTGATATTTTCAACTTTTTGTTAAAAAACGCAATTTCAATTTCTTTGATATTACATATATAGGTACTACATGTGTACCTCTCTCAGATTTTTTCATTTTGTAATGATATCTTTAATTCTCTAATTTTGGTGAATATTGTTGTCATTTTTGGTAAAAAGTGATATTTTCGACTTCTTGCTGAAAACCGCATATCCAATTGCTTTGATATTACATATATAGGTACTACATGTGGTTCTAACTCAGATTTGTTCATTTCATGATGATATCTTCAATTTTCTAATTTTGATGAATATTTTTGTAATTTTTGGTAAAAAGTAATATTTTCCACTTCTTGTTGAAAACAGCAAGTCTGATTGTTTTCATACTATACATATTGTTCATTTTCTAATGATATCTTGTGTTCTTTAATTGAAATGTACATTGATAACAGCGGAGCTATCTCAGCCGAGAGGCTGCTTGTTATTTGTATATCCTAGTTAATACTATTATTACTAGTATAATTATTACACTGTCCGTACTTGTATATTACTACATTCACTACTTGTATGTTAGTGACATAATATTATGTTCACGCCAAATTTCACGAATTGTATCTTTAGGTTAGAATAGTATCACTCTTAGTATCTTTCTGATACTGTTCCTAATGTAATTTCACTACTTTTATCTCATTGATACTAATACTACAAAAACAAATCATGTTTTTACTACTATTGTCTGGCTGATACTGTCACTACATGTAACGTATTTAAATTACTATCAGTATTTTCGGGTCACTATTACTAGTAACTGATGTCTTTTTATTACTAGTTGTTATTACTAATATCGTTGTGATATATTTATTGTTAGTATATTATTGACATTTTAATACTCGTATCATTGTGGCATTTTTCTAGTGTCTAGTATTTTTCTTCTGAAGTTACGTATCGTCGTAATGGTGTTACTTTTGCTTCTTGTAACGTTGTTGTATATTCAGTTCTAGCGTCATCATGGTACTTATACTACTAACATTGTCATATTTATTTTACTACTAATATCATTGTGGTATCTTTTCTTCTAGTATCGTCATGATTATTTTACTACTATTACGTTAGTAGTATTCACACTCCTAGTTATTTTAATTTTTTTTATTTACGTCTATCGCCCCTCCTGGGACATAGGCCGTCAACCAGGTTCCTCCAGGCAGAGCGGTCCTGAGCCAGCGTCTCCAGTTCTTTCCATGTGCGGCCCATCTTCTTAACATCTGCCTCCATGTCTCTGCGCCATGAGTTACGAGGCCTTCCCCTCTTCCCTTTTCCTTGAGGATTCCAAGTCAATGCCTGTCTAGTAATATTCGGCATTGGTTTCCGTAGGGTGTGGCCAAACCACCGCCATCGTCTCTGCAAGAGCTCTGCCTCAATGGGTTGCTGATGAGCAATCTCCCGCAAGTCTTGGTTACTAATTACCTCAGGCAAGAAAATACTTTTACAACTAATATCATCGTGGTACTACTGATATCTTCGTAATACTTGCACTACTACTATCGTGAAGCTTATATTACCACGAGTATCGTTCTGATACTACTGTTACCATAAAGATGATTTTAATACCAGTAGTGTTATGATACTCCCACTTCTTGTATCATCAAGACACTATTTCTACTATCATCGTAGTAATATAATCGCTGCATTATTTTTGTTACTTGCACCGTTGCAATGATTTACTTCTAGTATTATTATGACACATTTACTATTTATGTCGATGCAATAATTTCAGTAATAGTATCGCCGTGATACAATACGTGCTAGTATCTTATTGACAACTTTTCATATCAGTACAGTAATGATACTGTCACTACTAGTGTAGTAGTGATTCTTTCACTTGTAGTATTAATTTGATAACTGTATTTGTCAAAAACAAATGGTACAACTCCAATATATCTGTTTATCATATTCTGGCCTGAATTTGTGATGAATGATACACATAATAGTGAGATTGTTGAAATTGTCATTGAGGCTTGATTTTCAAACGAGCTCCGTTGCTTAATGTCATCGTTTTTGTAGAGTGTCTGATACTCGATAGTGCAGGATGGCACTGGATAATAATTCACACACACACAGAATTTAATCTAGTTAGCCATGATGGATTTTTAATAATAAAGCACGCCCTCTACTGGCCATGTATATTAATTGCAGGTCAAAGGTCATATGACATAACAGGACACTACATCCCTCCTTCTCTCGTTTTAATGCATCAATAATAGATGTTGTAGTCTGACTGATGATTATTATTTTTTTATTTTTTTTTTTTAACAAAAC